AAACATTTTGTTAAAACCCAAGTTGCCTAATGCTGTAGTAATAACCACCTAGTTATGGAAATGGATTAAACTAAGATGATTAATTTTTTTTATTATTATTATTATTTATTATGATATTTACAACTGTATAAAAAAAAAAAATACATCTAGTAAATTCGTACATGGATATAATGACATGAAACGCATGTTGAGAAACTACCCACTGGTAGCACTCTAATAATATGTCTACAATAGGAGATCTCGGTGCCATCTTCTTTTCAGACGCCTCGGAGGGTTATCAGGAATTGAAGAGGAAGAAGAAACGAGAGGGTTGGGATGATTCTGAAGTTTATTATGGAAGGATAGGTATTTGGATTGGGCCAGATCTGAAATATAAGAAACATTAAGGCCATTATGGATGGTTTTATTTGGAACAAAGTAGGGAGCATTAAGGATTTTGGATTGTAAGGATTGGATACGAGAGGAATTTGAAGGTTTGGTGGAGCCACATAGCTTATCTCCGTAAGTCCAAATAGGCCTTATTATAGTCATGTATATGAGTCTTTTGTAATTAATTGAAAGGTTAGAGCGTTTGTCTAGTAAGTGTTGGAGTAGTCGGAAACGTCGAGCTGTTTCTTGTCGTTTCAGTATGGTATGAGGATTCCAAGTTAGACGTTTGTCCAGGTGGAGTCCTAGGTAACGGATTTGTTCAACAAAAATAAGCAAGGTATTGTTAAAGGATACTGAAACACAGGAAATAATTGGTTTACAACGATAATTAATATTTTTTTTTTATAATTTTATTGAAATTTACAACTTTATTACATTAAATACAACAGGTAAATGTGACATTGGTAACATGACATGTAAAATATGAAGAGAAACTACCCATTGGTAGAACTCAAATTAGAGTTCTATATTAGAAGATTCCGAGGCCATCTTCTTTTCAGACGCCTCGGAGGGTTATCAGGGATACAGGAGAAAGCAATGTTTGAAACAAGAGGGTTCGGATGGTTCTGCAGTTTGTTATTATATATAAAATATAAAACTGAGAATGTTAAAATGAATAAAGTCGAGTATGCCGAGTAAATTTCTTAATTTATTATGAAAATTTGTTAATGGAAAAATCCAACCGCACAGCCATGTGTCTCTAAGGTCGGCCACACACGTTCCGGTATACCCGTGAGGTTTACCTGCACAGGTAAACCGGAGCTTGCGTGCTAGCCACTACAGGCCAAACTGTACCGACTTAGCGACCTCTGCAAACCACTAAATCAGTAAGCGACCGGAGAAGATTCGAAATTCTGTATTTTCTACCTACGCAGGTGTATAGACCTGCACAGTTTTTAGATTAATTAGTACACTTTTTAGTCGACTAAAGCGCACGCTTCGTATTCGTCGTTGCTCGACTTGAGTTTACCTGACAAGCATATCGTAACGCGTGTGTCCGGCCTAAAGGTGCGTTTAGACATTTCACAAACTATGGGTAAAACAAATATCTAAATGGTTGTTTCCCTATACTATTGTTTTTGATGTTTTCTATATGTTATCGGTAACAATAGAAATATAAAAAAGTTGGGCTCAGCGCTAAGGTCGCTGTTAGTTTAGTTATATAATTGTGTTTCCCATAGTTTGTGAAATATCCAAACGCACCTTAAAATACAGATAAAAAACAAACGAACCGCCAAATTTTTCGAGAAATTTATGACAGAAAAACTCATATTTCAGTACTCACTATCAATTGTAACTTTACATCTAATTTCTATGCCTTGTTGAGTTTTTTACTCCTTTATATTAAAGTTGCTAAAAAATAAATTTAAAAACAATACGGATTTCTTATATGAAAATAATTTGAATGCGTCTTGGTAACTTATTTTAGTGTATCCTTAATAACTTAGGATGCGACCCAAGCTTAGGATATTTCGTTAATACATTCGCTTTAAATATTCACAACTGTCACGGTCAAACCAAGGAAAGAAGGAGTGGAGCTAAAACGCGTAACTATTTGACAAAGTATAATGTCTCTTCTCAACATTAATGCCGTCATAATATCTCAACCAAAAAAAAAACTTAAAATAGCATATCTTTTATCGAATGAGGTGAGGATAGTCAATTTTGTATAAATGTGAACTTTTATTAACAGATATAACAAGAGGGGAATTTAACAAATGTATTGAATACCACTTTGCCACCTATGTTATTACAGGACACATTTCAAGTAATAGAAGGTTTGTTTCGTCTAAGTATATAGAAGGCAGTTCTTAAACGTCGAGTAGAAGAAATCATACCTTCTGAACCATAAATTAACTATAATTAAATATAAATAGTAAATAGTTAATACAACGTCTGGAAGGTTTATAAAAGCATTTCATCTAAGTCTTGCCGCAGAAAAACATCAGGTTACGATCGTATTCTTCAAATTGTGTGACAATGTTTAAAATAAAGGTAATATCTTTAAACGATATTTAATGGATCTTTGTCCATATATATTCAGGGTGTCGGGTAAGTAAAGGAAAATATTTAAAGAGGCGATAGTAAACACAAAGAGCTACAATAAAAATTAATATTAACTAAGTCACGATTTTTCATACAAAAATAGAAAACTGTGTGTTGTTTTTTTAAATAATTGAGGTTTTTTTATTGGATAGAAAGCGATAATTAAAAAAAAATCATTTGGGTAATTAACAATTATTTCATAGTAAATAAGACAAAATTTATTTGAAATGCATTTAGAGTTTGTAGGACTTTTATATCAAAAATTTCTATTTCTTATAAAATCTTGGATTATTCCCGTTTTTATTATTATTTTTTTCCTCCAATTTATCTCCTTCCAACTACAATGCAGATACCACATTTTTTAGGAAAACCTCGATGTTTAAGAAGCTTTAAGTTCGTATAAATTAAGATGAAGTTTTTACTAAATAAGTTGAGATTCATCATAAATTGTGTAAAAAAAGAAGAAGAGGTTTGATTTTCTGTCACCATCAGTGTACCTAAATTTTAAGCAAAAATGACTACAATAAATTATTGAAAAGCTTTTTTTTTTCAATGACCAGAAATAAAATATATAATATAATATATTGAAAAATCAATATCTAACTGAAATTATAAAATTTTGTTTTACAGTAAAATTCATGTCTTTCTTCTTTGTTTTCAGGAAAAAAAGTTTTTTATTTTATTTTCTGCAGTTTTTCTTTCTTTCTTATTAAATGTCAGCCCTTAAAAATCAGTTACATTTAACTCTTTTAAATAAATAATTCTGTGTGTTAAATTAATCAATTCATTATGTATCACTGGCGGATTTAAGGAGGGGCTTTCGGCCTGAAGTCCCCCTCCCTCCTCCCCTAAATTAAATCCTGGATCCGCTAGTGTTATGTATGTACAAATGTGTATGTAGATAAATGTTTAACAAATTATATTTATTTATTAAAACATAAATCTATTGATAACCATATTGTTAAGAGCTAAAACTAAAATTATTAACAAGTTGAAATAAACCACATTATAGCAATGAAATAACCATTTATATAGTTGTGGTTCCCATAGTTTTTGAAACGTCAAAACGCATTTTAATAATTGCACATTGACTAAGCTTTTGATGGAGCAGATGCTGGACATTAAAAATCAATATAATATTTTTTATTCTCAAATGATTTTCTTTAAAATGATTCAGTAATTACTGAATTAAACAATGAAGGAGTGTAACATAAAGGCCATAAATTTAATTTTTTATTTAAAGATTTCTTTAATATGGAGAACTTACCGACACTTTATTTAGAGGAATAACATACAAACAGAGCTAAAGGAAAATTGAGTTATTAGTCTGATACCCAAGACATAAGAAATGTCACTAACACAGGGTTCAGATTGGTTTATCCTCCATGATGTTTTGAATATGGAATGCTATACTATTGTTGTATAACAGCTACATAAAACTAAACAAAAATACGAAAAATTATTTGAAGATAAAGTATACAGAGGAGCACTAGCGGATCTAGGATTTAATTTTGGGGGGGGGCTTCAGCCCGAAAGCTTTTTTTTTCATAAAAGTAACGATAATTACTTTGGAAAATACGAAAGAAACTAAGTACCTATACGAACTGGTGTTTAAGTGATTCCTAAAGCCCTTTTAAATGTAATTACACGAATAATTATACTTTAAGAGATAATTTTTTAGTATTTTTTCTGATAAAACATGCTTATATTTTACCATTTTGGGGGGGGCTTCAGCCCGAAAGTAGATCCGCCCGTGCAGAGGAAAAAAATAGGGGTAAAAAAACAAGTGGAAGAAAGTGTCCAAAATTATCCCTTCAAATAATACTAGCCCAATGTAAGAAAATGGAGATAAGACTTCTTTTCACTAGTAATTCCACAATATGACATTTTTTTTTATTTTATTCTAAATCCAATGTATATTATATATGTATGTATTCCATATTTCCTTTACAAATTTCATTTGAACCACCTGGTGTATATTACTCTGAAAAAAAAACTCTTATTTTTTTATGATAAAAACTTGGCTTCAATGCTTCTTTTTTTAACATAAAACCACTAAAATATGTTATAGCAAATATTAGAAAATTTCCTGCTGTAAAATTCACTCTTCCTTATGAAGAAACATATAGATAAGATTCTTCAAAATGTAAATTGTTTTGACCATTTTCTACAGTTGGTTGAGAGGGGGAAAATAATTGTGAAATTAAAAATATCTATTGTGATATTCATCCATTTTTTTATTATTATATTTTATTTATTTCTTTTATTTATTTATTTTTTATTTCAGCTGGCTTCTTATGAAACAAAGCCAGAAAAGTTAACTATATTCCGAAACTGCTTAGTTTATGCTGGAGCCTTAAATGACGGCACATTGAAGTCAAAATTCTTCATTTGCTACAGGACTTATGGACTTATTGTAGGATTTCTTCAGTATGCTATAATGGTTTGTACATGAAGGCGTTGTATTTTGAAATTGTACATATAAATTCATTAGCGGATAGTGTTCACCCTCCTCATAATTTGTAGGCCACTAAAACAACTGACTTTATGACAGTAGTAGAGGTTTTCCACTGGATGTGTGATTTTACAATAATGACATCTATGACAATGTCCTGTCTCTATTACAATCCAACTCTTTTGAAAATGGAAGCCAAGATTAAAGGTGGATTTTTTGACTATGGTACTCCTCTCACTCCTGAACAAATCAAGGTTGGTTTTAACAGAACTGTTTAATAAAACTTCTTTTTCAGGATTGTAACACTGCTAATAATTGATAAAATTACTTCGGCTCAAGATATCTATTGTTTAATTTCTTTGATTAATCTTATTACTACCAAAATTTTTATTTGTTTTGTTTTGATGGATAGAAACAAAAAAAAAACTTTTTGCGGAGCTATGTCACTTCCTATAATGGATAACACCGAACCAAGACATTGGGACACATGTACTCTTCTTAATTTGGAAGCAGCAACACCTATGGCTATCTTTTAATTTTCATTTGATATTTTGAGTCACCGATAAAATTGAAATTACTATCTGGTGAGGGAATGATATAAAACTCTGGCATACTCTGCCTATCATTTTACAATATCTTTAAAAATTTAGATTGAAGAGTTTTGGAATCTTCTGAACCTACTCTATCAGCTCTGAAAATACTGAAATCAAATAACTATTCATTGTACCTTAGTATTTTCTTAATGTTTATAACTGGTTAGGACTGAGAGAGGAACTGAAAAAAATTATTTTTGAATTTTTTTTCCTTGAATCTTTATAAATCATTCTGTTGTTAAAAATTACTCTACTAAGCAAATAGGCTAAAAAATGTATAAAGATAGAAAAAAAAGGTCTACAGGAGTGGTTTTCTCAAAAGAGAAAATCCTCATTCTGAGAATGGAATATGTCAGATTTTTTTTTAAAAATATATATTAATAAGTTTATATATATTTAAAAAAATCTGACATATTCCATTCCCAGAATGAGGATTTTCTCTTTTTAGAAAAAAAATTCCTGTAAACGGTTTTTCTATCTTTATACATTTCATGAGCCTATTTGACGAAATAAAGTCTTTTGTTCAAGCATGCCAATTTCACTTCATTTTGTTTCTTATCTTAGGAATTTGAAATTTTCATCAGCCACTAATGTAATTCCTATCATGTCTACAATTTATATTGTTAATTCTGATGTGTTTGAATATAATTTGGAGATTTTAGAACATAACTTTTTGATTTATTTTTCATTTAAAGAATCTTTTTTTCAGATACGGGCGATCATGAACAGAAACAGCCAGTTAATGAGCAAGCTTTATTTTTCTCTTTGTTATTGTGGATTAGTTGCAACCTATGTACATATATTCTTTTCTAAAAAGGAATATATACTGCCATACCCAATGTGGTTTCCTCATGAAATTCGCAATAAGTACCAGTAAGTTTTGCCATAATAATGATGACAGTATATGTTAGCATTTTTTAAATCATCTAATTTGGATTATCTAGTTAAGAAATATCCTTTGAATGGGTACCTAACATTAAAATTTTAGTCCGCGATAATGATCTAAATCGATAATAAAAACAATTAATTTACTGACCTTACCAGAATAATGTGTGATAGGCATTAGAGTTTAAATTGAAACTCCGCAAAAACATGGTACATTCCAAATTATCATAACCCCTAAAAATGTATCACCCAAAAATTTAGCTCAACTTGTGGAAACGCAAAGCAGAAAATAGAACGAACACTTATAAATATATATATAAATGTTTAAAACTTTTACAATACTTTTATAAGAACTCTTTTATTAATCAACTATAAGTAGATATGTGAAAAAAAGGTTTCGAATCAGCAACCCATAATATTTGGCACCTGGCTTCCTGAGAACATTTATTGGTAACATTTGACTTGTGAAAGAAGATCATAATTACTAATCATAAAACATTAAAATAACTTTTATTTATAAAAGGACGAAATACTCTTTATTTTTTTTTTCCATGTTAGATTGATATTAAAAAGAATACTGTAGATGGATTTCTTCAACTGCTTGGACTTTAGTAGAATACTGAATGTACCTAGTAACCCTCAGTCTAGCTTGAGACTGTCGACCTGTGTTTGTCTCCTTTGTGGTTATTCTGTTGGAAATTCAGTCTAAAATTATTTGTCTACTACAATAAATACTTACTAATTATGATAATAGTGCGGACATAATTTCTCTAAAATCTACTTTTCTTTCAACGACTGTTAGCCACAATTTCCCTTTCAACATATTAACATCTGAAAAATTTAATTCAAATTGGACATTGAAAATCACAGTTATATTATTCAAACAATGACCTTTTTTATTATAATTATTGTTTTATGGTGATGCCGTTCTTAATTAGTCATACTTTATTCTTTTAATTTATCTTTGTTATGTAGGTTTCAAATGTCTATTAAAATATAAAATATTTGTTGCAATGTAATTTTTTTTTTCAGTTAATTCTTTACTTTTTCAGATATGTTTTAACTTTGATACATGTATTCATGGTTGCTGAAACAATGACTATCTGTGCGTTCAGTCAGTTAAGTACCTTTGTCGCTTTTTCGTCACATCTCATCGCTCAATATAAAATACTTATCTTTGCAATTAAAGAAATAGACTCGATTGCTAGAACCAAAAGTATTCCTGAGAAGAAAATCATTGCAATGCAAGCTAAACTAAAAACATGTGTAAAGCACCATGTTGTTATAAACAAGTAGGTTAGCCAATTAATTATTGGATGTTTGCTAATTTTCATTTTGCTGTGATTTTAATGGTATAGAACTGTTTAAAGAAACCTGTGAACAACATTATCATTTATAATGAAATTATTATATTACAATGTAAGATGAAATAATGAACTTATGATATGAACAATAAAACCTTTTGTATAATCATTTGGCTTCTAAATTTAATTTTAATATTTTTTCATTTCTAAAAAAATAAATATGTTTTCAAAATCTTGAAAAAAAAAATTTTTTTATCTATACTAGTATACAAACCTTAAGAATTTATTTCATTAACATCAAACAATCTAGAAAAGTATAAGCAATTATATTAATAAAGCTTTCTGTGAACATCGAATACAAATGCAAATTTTTAAGCTTATCAGTGACTTAAGAGAAGATTGTTTTAACAGACAACTGTAAGTTACCATTTCTAAACTAAGTTGAGATGAAAACCAGTATATTATTATTCCACAAAGGAAAAAATAAAAATATTCCTTATGCTGTATACTGTTTTCTAAAATAACATTGTTTGTATTAAAAAACAAAACAAAAAAAAGTTGTTAGTATAAAGCCATCAAACTAAAATGGCTTTCTGATAATTCTTTTTTTATTTGGTCCTTTTGTTTTTGCACATAAATTTCAGATGTTCAGTTAATGATAAGTACTTGGTAATGAACTCATTGTGTGTTTGAAGCAGATATGTATAATACTAATTTAACACAAGTGAAACCAAAGGTTAACATTAATATAATATTTGTTTAATAACAAATATTATATTTGATGAATTATTAAGTATATATACAAAATGTATGCATAAATGATTTTTTTGAGTAATTTTTTTTCTTATTTTAGGTATTTTGACGATTTGCATAAATTGTTTAGCATCCCTTTATTAACAACAGCTATATTCATATGCTTGGCGATTTGCACTCTTGGATTCATCCTTTTAGTGAGTTTAATGGCAGGATTATTTAATAAATTTGTTATAGTTTAAGGATTTATCACAACAAATTTTTTTAGTCACCTAATGTTTCAGTGCCGGTTATAGGAGCTTTGATAATACTGTTTCTTCCAGAAATGTTTATCATCGTTGTTTACTGTGTATATGGGCAAAAAGTGGCCGATGTAGTAAGTAAACAAAATTTATCAACTTTCAAAAGGTTTTTAAATATACTTAATTTGAATAACACCCCTTGAGCTCAGGGAATAATGGGCTGTAATGTTCTTGGTAGATTAGAGATTTTTTTTTTTTCTGTTGGCATTACAGACCATGTAGATGTTTTGTCACTTTAACAAACCTGCACCATCTCTGCCTGTCATGGAGTTCTCAAAAAAAAAATTTTTTAAATATCATAGCCTATTCTAATTTTGTTTTAATTTAGTTCAATAGCCTATTCTAATTTAGATATTTTTTTAAATTTTATTTATGACATAAGTTTATTTATTGTGTAGTGTGAAGAATTTGGACGAACTATTTACAATTCAGATTGGTACACGAAGCCTTTGTCTGTTCAAAGAGACCTGCTAATGATATTGATTGGGAGTAGAAAGAAAAGGCAACTCACAGGCTTTGGTCTACATGAATTTTCAATGAAAGGTTTATCGGAAGTAAGTCTAATTAAAGGTTTGCATTAAATAAGAACAATAAAGACTGTTTATATTTTATAATGCTAAAGATAGTTTTAAAATACTGGAATGAATAATTGAAGAATGAATCTTCATTTTTTTGGTATTATACTATTTTAAACGATCGAAGATACAAAACTACAGAATGAAACCAATGAAAAAAAAATTAAATTTTTCGATTATCCTTATTATTTCATAACTTGCGAGAATTATTGTTTGACTACAATTGTTGTTGCTTGTTTAGTTCCAATCAGTTTCAGTTACATGATTTTTTTGTTACAAAACATTTTTACATAGTGTTTATTTGATTTTCTCAATTGCCAACTGCTCTCCTAATTAAACTCACATGTACAGTATTTACCGTCATTAATTGTTTCAGAATGGAAGTGAAAGATATTTGAAAAGTAAACAAGAGATGAGTATCCGTATATTAGAAATTTGTTTCTGACTCTCAACATCTCTTTATTCATTTCCTGAAAAAATTAAATAAATCCATCCATCCATTCTTTCTACCCTTAGTTTTCTTAGTTTTTTATTTTATTTTATTATTTTTTATTTTTTTTTTTTGCCTATTTGGATTATTGGAACATTGGTACTACAGAAGTTTAGATTACTAATACTATACTAGTAAAGTGTATAGTGAAGTTATGCGCTAACAATCAAGGAACCCAATACACAACAAGAAACCCATGGTTTTATCAATCTTTATATTTATATACAATATTTTACAGTTATCATCAATCATCATCAATCATATACAGATTTTTTTTTAACAACAAAAACTAATTTATTGTTGCTTAGATGTTGTTTATTTGGTATAGGAAATTAGAACACTGCAATTCTCACTGATGTGTTTTATTTTTAGGAAACTGGAAAGCTAAGCTTACTTTGATATCTATAAGATGTTTGCATTTGACAATAATTTTTTTTAAAATATAATAAAAATGTATATTATTACAATGATAAATAATGTGAGGGCGTGGTTTAGAATCTTAAAAAAGTTTATTATTTCTATTTATTTATTTTTGGACACTGCAGTCCTAGATGAATCTCATCCAGCTTTATTCAGTTTCTTGAGGTAGCTGCTTAGAACAGACAGCTATATTGTATACTAGATCTGTCAGAACTCCTTTCATATTGGTGATCCACCATAGATAGAATTCCATCTTATATTCTATTTTTCAGGCCTACATCCTTTGAAGCATTTTATCTATTTTCCTCTTACCTGCATATTTTCCGTTCATATTCATACACCTCTCACCTCTCTGATTTTACCACAGACAATATTTTTGGATGAAACTGTGTCATAAGTAGATAAGTTCCCTTAAAATATTCTTAATAACTAATACTTTCCCCAGCAATCCAGTGAAAATGAATGCAGCTTAAATATTTATAATTGCTATAGCCCTGAGATCTTCTACTTCATTATTGATCCTAAACTTAACTTATTAGCTAATGCTTTACAATTACTCAATTCATCTTAGATTTGAAAATCTTTCTGATCCTTCTGATAACCATACCTCAAAACTCCTTCATGTTGAGGGATGCTAAGCATTAATACTTTATTAGTATGTTTTAGATTCTAACTAAAATTATCATTATAATAATTATGAGGCCCTGTAGGAGAGAGTCATGGTTTTAATTTTTTACTTCATAAAAGTGAACTTTTTAGGTCATTGTATATATAATTGTTTATAATTTATATTATATGTTTATGCTTTAATACTACATCCTGAATATTATAAGTATAATCCGAGAATTTCATCTAAAAACAAAAGATTATTTTCCATTTAATTTTCTGTTCATATTTATTTATGCTCGACGTTTCCGACTGCTCCAACACTTATTAGACAAATGCTCCAAACTTTCAATTAATTACAAAAGACTTATCTACATAACTATAATAAGACCTATATGGACATACGGAGTTGAGCTTTGGGGCTCCACCTAACCATCAAATTCCTTATCGTATCCAATCCTTACAATCCAAAATCCTCCGTAAAATCCTTAATGCTCCATACTTCGTCACAAATAAAACCATTCATAAAGACCTTAATGTACCATATGTCGCTGATTTATCTCGAGCCAGATATCTATCCTTTCATGATAAATTTCAGTCCCATCCAAATCCGCTTATTTCCACTCTTGCTTCTTCCTCGATTCCTGATAATCCTCCTAGGCGTCTGAAAAGCAGATGGCCTCGTGATCTTCTTACTTAAAATTATTTAGAGAGTGCTACCACTGGGTAGTATCTCTTCAAGCCTGTACATGCCATTATTTATATTTGCGCATATTTACTAGTTGTATTTGTATACAGTTGTAAATTTCATTAAATAAACAAAAAAAATATATATATATATTTATTTACATTTAATTGTGTATTATATATGATTTTTTTTTTTAGATTATTAAAGCGACATTTTCATACTTCAACATGCTGAGAGCCATGAATTAAACAGTATATTAACAAAGAAAGAAAGAAATCTAGACTCTTTATTTTTAGTTTATTCAATGATGTATGAAATCTTATAAATAAATACTAGTGTAGGAGTTTCTCAGTAGTTACCCAGCTAATTTATTTGTTTCTCACTTTCAATAACATCCATTCTGTTTTTTTATTTGTTTTCTAAGAAATATTTTATTATTAAAGATAATGGAGAGTAATAGCCTAACCGTTAAATCCTAACCCTGAATTGGTGTGAGAGCATAAATTCTGTTCTCTGATGTTTGACAAATCGACCATTAGAGTTTCCTAAAGTAATGAGTTGTGAAGAAATGACTACCAAACTGTTGATTAAGTTGGGTTTCAATTTTTTCTATAAAGCTGTTTCATTTTCTATACATCACTGATTTTTTTTTTTTAATGCTGCTATAAGTGGCAAGTGGAAACTTGAGAAGGTGTTTCTCAAAGTAGTTTGTGATTTGAATTTCTCTCTGACAGTTTCCTCCTAAGCGGTAAGTGCATACCACTGTTATGGAATAAGTGCCTGACAAAAACATCATATATATTTTTTTTTTATTTTAAACACTAAGTACTAAATTAATTAGGAAAAAGGTCATAGATTAACTATCAATGTAAATAGAAAGAAAATTTATTTTGTGCAATGAAAATAACCTAATAATGATTTGTCTTCATTTAATGCTACTGTCATTGAGATATTGACTTAAGTATTGTAAAACCTAGAAAAATGTAACATTTTCAATTTTTTTTTTTTTTGAGTTTACAAAAAAATAAGATAATAAAAACTAGAATATATCATATCAAGCACTGGATCTATACTCCTGTTCCCTTACTCTCATCCATAACTTGATTTACAATAACTGACCTGGATATACATATCTGTTTAAGCTGGAGTGAATAGACAATGTTTGAAGGAATGGGAAGTTTTGAAAAAGATGGGGGAAGAACACTGGAAACGAAAAAATTTTTAACTACAATGGTGAATTGGAACAATCTATATTCGAGATCTTACCAAGGCATAAAAACTAATAATAAAATAGATGTGATTATGGTTCTAAATCCTGTTACTATCACACAACAGAAAATTTCATAACAACAGAAAGGTTTATAGTTTGGCAATTACCGTACCAAAAACCTACTAGCCTTCAAATATTTTGCCAATCGTATAGACACAATTGGTGATCTACCAGCAACATGTGTTTAACTAAAAACCAAGTGGGCTTCTAGTAGAACATAATCAGTTAAAAAACAAAAATTAGTTTGAGTGGTACCCTTTGTATTCTTTCAATATATACTTACTATAATGAATGATTTCAGTTATGGATTGGATATTAATAATATCAACAAAGTAGTGAATCTAGGATTAATTTTGGGAGGGGCTTTTGATTTTATTTTTAACAATAGTAATTGCTTTGGAAGAAAAAGAAAAAAATACTTATAAGAAATGATGTTTAAGTTATCCTTGAAGGCTAAAATAAAAAAAATCGGTAATTACAGAAACAATAATGCCTTTGGAGATAAATTTCTTATATTTTTACTTGATACATTTTGTAGATGAATAATATGCATTATAATTTAAAAAGAAAATATATTGTGATTGTTTAATTATTCCGGTTAGATCACCCATAAAAACAAATATGCACAAATGAAAGGAACAAATTATTTTTCAATTTTGGGGACTTTATCCCCCAAAAGCTTGCCCCTCACATAGATCTGTCAGTGTACCTCACATAAAAAATGGAATTTTAAAAATAAAAAAAAATTGAAATGGAAAACCATCGAGTTTTTCACAATATGTTAAGGAAGAATACATGGATCAGGACTATCTTGATATATTATTAAATCATATATATATTGTGTTTTTTTTCGGTACGTCATCATTTTGTCATTTCTTCATCAAATCCAATGATTGACCACTCATTTTGAAGATATCATTCTCCTTCATATGCCAACAATAGTCTTATCCATCATGAAATTTCTGGGGGAAAAGTTATAAAGGAAAATCAACTTTATTTGCGAATAACTTAAAAAGTATGCATTTTTTTTCTTGATTGTACTCTTGATTATTAGAAAGATTACTAAATTACCTACAAAACAAAAACAAAAATGCAAAAATCGGACAACTATATACAAAGATACAATTCTACTACACTTTTTTTTCCTGGCTGATATATTAACTTCATTATTTCTTAAAGGCCTTTGTTTGTTCTTACATTTTATATTTTTTAATAATTTATAAAATCCCATGATCGAGGCTTTATTACCTTTTACCTTTAAAAATACTAAGACCTATACAAAGTGATTTGGTCTATTATAGTCTATGTACAAATATTTTGGTCTATTATGTTAAATGGAATATGGTAATCGACCAAGGAAAAACAATTAATTCCTCGCCCAGATAATACATATATTTACTTATTTCCATATTCTTTTGCTATTTCTTCACGAAACAAAATTTTCTGTGAATTATTCGCAGGGGCAAACTAGTAAAGTAATTATTTAGGCTAAAATTGTTGAACATTTTGGAGCAGCAGTCCAGCTTGCATAAGCCAAAAACAAACCCTGATTCAATTATGGTTTGGAAAGTTTAGTTTTCATTTTATGACTACTGAGCCAACAGATGATCAACTTGTCTCCAGGTCTTACAATTAGCCACTTTCACTTCCAAGAGGACTAAAAATTTTCCTATTCTAATCATTTTTCCTCTTGCAATTGACTTATAATCATGAGCGATTCGTTTATATTTCATTAACAGAAATTTATTTTCAAGATTCATTTTTCTCTTTCTATTTTCTAATTTTTTTTTATTGGGGATAGATTATTGGTCAATCTATCCTATCAAAATATTTGTAAATTATTATGATTGGTACTTGTTCATTTTCGGTACTTCAAGATGGCGGCGGTTTTAAGATCCTCAGATCCTAGTTTCCCGAAAATACCCGAAAGAGTCCGATAAAAGATAGACCTACCGATCGACAACTGTCAATTTAGAGAATTATCAGCATTTTAAGAGGAAAATTTTACTCAACTATATTCGATAAAAATTGTTAAAATACTGAAATAAATATAATTTGTAGGATTCCGATCTTTTGATCGGGTTATTAAATATGAATACAATTATTAGAACATTACCAATTTTCGCAGTAATCAAAATTTTCACAGTACCATATTATTTTATTTTTTCTAAAAATATTTCATTATTGTATGAATTTCCACCGGCATTTCTGTTTATCTTACAGATATTATCACTATTAAATTATGAAATTTTCATATAACTATTGAAATTTCGAATTTAATAGAAATTCTACCTTATAGAATCTAATCACGCTTTCTAGAGAGAACAGAAGTGGGAGAGAAGAAGTTCTGTGAATCCCCTATTACAGCTCTCCCAGATTTCGGATTTGGGCTGTAGAATTTAATTCATCTTTGGTTGGCAATAATTCGCGGAGGTTACTTTTCTTAAGAACGAAATGGATACTTTGGGTAAGTCAAATAATTACTTGTAATGCTTCCTGCTCATAATTAATTGTTAAATTTAAATTATTTAACAAACATTAATCACTTATTTTAATTATTATGTTAATCAATCGATATTTTCTATTATTAATTATTTTGTTTTGGAGTTATTTTCCTATGCACACTTAAATATATAAATAAATAACAAAACTATTATTAAATTTAATGTTATAAAAATGTTATTTATTAAAGTATAGCAAAATCAAAATGTTCCGTTCTAAGAACCAATTTCCAATACACGCCATCAAAATCACTACAATATATATTATATATATATATATATATATATATATATATATTAAAAAGAATTTCCTTGTTGTACAAGTAGTATATAACCTTTATATTCAGTGTGGGGTGTGACAGCTAGGTTACAGCTTGGAACTGTGACAGTTCCAGGAAAATCACAGTGACAAAATAGCAATTTTATCACAACTGATTTTTTCCTCTTGGACCTTGGAGCTGATGCAGGTAGGAGACACCAGTGGATCCAGGATTTAATTTTTGGGGGAGGAGAGGACTCCAGCCCAAATGTTTATTTTATATATATATATATATATATATATATATATATATATATATATATATATATATATTGATAGATATATAGATAGAAAAAAAACTTTATTCTGGGACTAAGTCCCTTCAGAATAACAATAATGTACAAAATAATAGAATAATACTGGCCTAAACGTTTGAAACAATAAATAAAATTGATAAAATAAAATAAAAAGTAAAGAAAACCTTAGGTGCACAAGCTATATACAATACGGATAAAACTATGTACAGAGCATTTAAAATTATGAACAAAACAATTAAAACTATGAACGAATCACTTGAATTATGAACAAAACTATATATAAGGGTTGAACAACATAAACATACACTTTGAGAAATGAAGAACGAAAAAGAGATAGAATGAGTTCATTTCATAAAAAAAAAAAACTTTACTTGAATACATATATAAAAATAAACAGTTAATTATGATTGAATAAAAAAAAAAAATGTATGTATTGAAATTCCTACGTCGATAGTAGGCAATGCATGTACTATCTCTTACCAAGTATTATGATTATATGATTGCTACACAATACATATATAGTATTAATAGTTAGCTGGTATCTGACTGTTTTTGGAACAGGAATTGGAATATGAGGTTTTTGAATGTGTATAAGGAAGGGGCATGTCGAATTTCGATCGGGAGGGAATTCCAAAAGTTGACATAGCGGGCTATATAGGAATTTTGAAATGAGGCAGATCTATGAGAAGGGATGTATAGGTCAGAGGGTCGGAATCTTGTAGTGAGGGAATGGATTGAGGACTTAAATTGGAGAAGGTTGTAGACATAAGAAGGACGATGATTGGTAATGATTTGATAAAGGAAAATGTCTAGGAAATATTGTCTTCTTAAGGAGGGGAAGAGCCACCCTAACTCAGTGTAGTGGTGGGAGACACGGGAGCGTCTCAGGGTCCCAAGTGCAAATCTTACAAAGCTATTCATAAGTCTTTTGAGTCTATCACGGAGTTCCACTGAGAGGCCATCTTACACCACACAACTGTAGTCAAAGTGGGGAAGTTTGAAAGGAATATATAAATAAATAAATAAAGGAATATATATATATATATATATATATATATATATATATATATATATATATATGAGAAGGAATTAGTCGAGGGTGCGGTCAAAAAAATAAAAAAATTAAAATATATAAATAATTTTAATTTTTGCCGACGTTTCGACCCACTTTGCAGGTCGTCTTCAGGGCTACAAAAGATACAAACATGTTGAAAAAATAAAAATAAAATAAAAAATAAATATAAGTATATATAAATTACGAAGAAGTTGTCAGATACAGAAATAAAAGATTTTTTTTGACACTGCTAACTAGAGTTTTTGACACTGCCAGTGTTTCAACCGCCTCCCGCAGTGCCACATCCAACGGTATGTTTTGACTTTTATTGAGATTCCTTTCTTAACACACCTATCCTTCAACTATACACCTTATTATTATCTTCATATAGCCTACCATTCCATTACCGCTTTCAAAAAACTAAATGTCAATTGTCATCTATATATAGTACAACCTGTTTTTTGTTTCTTTATCATCATAACCTTGTTTTTACATTTATTCTTACATTTTAAAGTATTCTTTTAAAATTATTGTTTTCTTATAGAGTTATTTATACTTAATAATCTATCCCAACAATATTACACTAATGTTACCCTATTAATCTTTCAATTTCTTCACTTCTTAACATTTGGTCCCGTTATCTGTTTATTTACAATTAAAGGTAACCTCCACTTGCTTGTTATCCACTGATATCTTATTATTATGTTATCTTATCCATATTTTAACTTTACTGTAACAATAGTTATTCAATTTTCAATCAATTTATTCGTTAACATTCATTTATTCGTTAACATTCATGTATTTATTTTCTTTTATCTATTTTCTTATCATGTATTTATTTTCTTTATCTTTTATTTCTGTATCTGACAACTTCTTCGTAATTTATATATACTTATATTTATTTTTTATTTTATTTTTATTTTTTCAACATGTTTGTATCTTTTGTAGCCCTGAAGACGACCTGCAAAGTGGGTCGAAACGTCGGCAAAAATTAAAATTATTTATATATTTTAATTTTTTTATTTTTTTGACCGCACCCTCGACTAATTCCTTCTCATATCATATCAACGGTCAACCAACTCTACATCATATATATATATATATATATATATATATATATATATATATATATGTATAATGACAATTACTTTTAAAGAAAAAGAAACTAACTACTTCTGTCAAATGTTGTTTAAGTGATTCTTGAAGTCCTATTAAATTTAATTATACAAAAAATTATAATTTTAGAGATAATTTTTTCATAAAACATGGTTATATTTTACCATTTTGGGGAGGCTTCAGGGAAAAAAGCCACAGACCTCCCTCCCCCCCCCCCCTTGGTCTGCCAGGGACACATCTTCATTGAGCCATGAAAATATAGTTCACTTTTATTTTCCAGATAAAGAAAAACATTTAAAAAAAAATGCAATTATATGAATGTAACTTCTGTACGAACAGATTAAGCCTAAATCCTACTTGATAATGAAACTACTTTCAGTATTCAACAATGAAAATTTAATTTAAAAATAAATAATGAGTTTGATTTTATCTTTTTTCAGCTATAGATCGATTTGAGGTCCGTCTTTTGAAAGAATTTGAAACAAGAGGAATAATAGAAGCTGTTGAAAAAGGTCTTGAATATGTTATTAAAAAAGGATTTGAGTTAATGGCAGGTAAAATATGATTTTTACATTACTTTTTAATTTTATTATTTCTCGTCCTCTCAATTTCCAAAAATCTTAGGTGTATTGATAATTTTTTTGTTAAATTTTAATTGAATAAACTTTATCATCATTCTTTATTTTGAATCCGTAAAATTGTTGACATTTATATGTATTAACTACTCAAAAATAAGGTTATATATTTGAAAAAATTGCCCAATTTCAAACATATTAGGAATAACCCAATAAGAATTTATGAATTTGTCCATATTCTTTATAAGTGGTCATATTTTCAAAATTAAATTATTGTAATGATTAATGTAGTAAAAAATTAATTATTCTTGAGAAGTAAGTCAAAATTTGTTGTAATAGTTCTCAACATTCAAGTTTCTACTAACATTTTTAGTATCATTTGAAAAATAGATAGCAAATAAATAAAATATATATTTCATATCCTACATATATATATATATATATATATATATATATATATATATATATATATATATATATATATATATATATATATATATATATATATATATATATATATATATATATATATATATATTATATATATATATATATATATATATATATATATATATATATATATATATATATATATATATATATATATATATATATATATATATATAATATATATATATATATATATATATATATATATGTATATATATGTATATATATATATATATATATATATGTATATATATATATGTATATATATGTATATATATATATATATATATATATATATATATATATATATATATATATATATATATATATATATATATATATATATATATGTAGATAGATAGATAGATAGATAGATAGATAGATAGAAAATAACTTTATTCTGGGACCCAGTCCCTCAGGAATAACAAAATAGAACAAAATTAAAAGATTACATCTGGCCAAAATAAAATCAATAGTAAAAAAGAAATAATGTAAAGAAAATATAAGGTAAACATTCTATATACAAAACAAACGAAACTATATACAAAACAAACGAAATTATATACAAAACAATTAACACTATGACAAGACACTTAAAGCTATTTGCACTGATAGACCAGTATACACTTTTAAGAAAACAATAAAGAATAACAAAATAAAAATATATTAAATTCTTCATTAAAATAAGCTTTGTGTTTCTGTTGAGAAAACAGAAAGCTGAACCTGACAATATAAAGTGTCTGATTAATATATAAATACATTATCATTTAAATGTTGATTAATGTATAAATACATCATCATCATTTCTTAACGTAACAATATCCCTAGCAAAGAATAGCATTGATATTTGACAATGAATGACATGATATAAATGTATGTTGTCAAATGGTTAGAAACTATCTGACTGTTTTTGGGATAGGAATTGGAATAGGAGGGTTTTGAATGTAGATATGGATGAGGAATATAGAATTTTGATAGGGAGGGAATTCCAGAAATTGACAGAGCGAGCAATAAAGGAGTATGGAATGAGGCAGATCTGTGAGAAGGCATGTAAAGGTTAGAAGATCGAGATCTTGTGGACAGGGAATGGACTGAGGATTTGAACTGGAGAAGGTTGTAGGCGT